CATTTCCAAAAAAAAAAAGATTGATAAATAAGCCTTCCAACCTTAATGTCTTTATCCAAAATTGAGTTCCTTGGAGGTATCTTCACCCACTACCCTTTCAAAAACAGTGTCTTCCACCCCAAGTCCTTCTCAAGCTTCTGCCTTGCTTTGTTTTCTTCACAATATCCAAATCTGAAATTACAAAGTTTATTTTTGACTTGCTCGTTGCCTGTCTTCCCACACTAGAATGTGAGTTCCAGAAGATCAGGGGCCTCATATTTCTAATTCATCACTCTAGTGCCCAGAACAGTTATTGACATCTAGTAGATACTCAGTACACATCCATAGCTAACGCATGAATTGCCTTGAGAAATGCAATCGGGGTGAATTGTGCTTGATGTATGGACAGGTCAAGAAGTCAATTCTGCTGAAGTTTGGAGGAGGGTCCTTTCTTTCCCTTGCTTCAGGTGCAGTGAACATAAGGCCTTGAGAAATGACAAATCCTGTGCAAAGGGTAAGGAGGGGGCACAAGGAGAGAGGCTTGTCCACGCCACAGGTGATACAGACACACAGGCACACACAACCGCATCCATGACACTAGCCCATGCAAAAGGCAACATGGATTTAGGACTAGAAATAAGAGTTTAGATACTTAAACTTTCTTTTGGACAAGTTAAAATTCCATGTGGATATCTGTACAAATATATGTACAAATGCTGAGGAGCATTTAAAATATCTATATCACATTATGCTATTGTCTACCTTACAGGTCTCACAAAGAAATGGAAACTTCCTTCAGTTGTGCCCAAATACAGGGACCCACTTAGGGCAGTTCAAAATGGTCAGGAATGGCAGCTCTCACTCCAGAATGAAGAACTGCCTTAGTTCAGCTGTTCTTTTTTTTTTTTTTTTTTTTTTTTTTTTTGGTGCCATTTTTAACAAGTACATTTTAAGGGCCATTATTTTATTCATGTTAGGTTTATCATTATTGCAGTTAGCCTCACATTTACTTTGGCTAGCATCCTTCTTTCAAAGTTTTTGACATTTCAGTTGGTTTTGATTTGTATTTTTGGTCACACTCCATTAATAATAATTTAAATTTGAATCGTGCTTTTCAGCTTACAAAGAATTCATGTTATCATGTGTGCTCTTGAACAGCTCTGTAGAAGAGGCAGAGCTTATAATTTCTACTTTATAGGAAAGGAAACTGAGCCTTAGTGAAGAAAAAGTATTTGCCCAAGGTCATAGACATGGAGGATCACAGAGCACAAGTCTATTTCATGTTTTTTGTTTCTTCTATAGTATTTTTCCCATCTGACAAACACCCATTTGCTAAGCTGGCTTGGCTGGCCAAGATCTATGGTCCAAACACAGTGTGTGTGTTTGTGTGTGTGTGTGTATGTATTTATATATACTCACTCAAAGACATATACACACACAAGCTCTCAGACAAAAATCCAAGAAAACATGAAATAGAACTCACATCCTCAGAATGAAATAGAACTCACATCCTCAGAATAAGAAAAAAGAAGAAAACCCACTACTACCACTTCTCAGCAGGAATTTCAAGACTATTTCTTCCCACCAGGTGTTTGTATAGTGTTACACAAATCTGATGTTCTTTTGAGTGATTTGGGGAGAACCACCACACCACGTTGACCACCAAAAATATCCTCAGGGAAAAGAGGGAAATTAGGAGGGATAAGTCAAGCGGTAAATTCTAACCAGGGCCCCTACATAAATATTCAAGTTAAAACTGAACAAAGTTTACTTAAATAAGAGCCAGAGAAATGGCAGATGGCAGACTGAAGGAGGTGGTTTTCAGAAGAGAAAGGCCAAGCTTACAAGAGGAAATAATTGTAGTAAGTAGGATCCCACTGGGCCTTTGGTATTCAACTGGTCTTCTTCCAGGTATTTTGCCTCATTCCAGTTTTCCAGGGTTTCATTAGATTGTCCTGGTTTAAAGATTAAGTATAATCCAACACATCCACTGAAATGATGGAAGGGTGAAGGACTAAGCTTGCTAGCCTACTATTATGGATATTGCCACATGTTTAGGGTTAAATAATTAAATTTATTCATCCCCAAAGGTAGAATTAATACATTATCAGGAATTTCCATGTATTTCTGCATGCATTTACACATGCAACTGTCTAATCACTGCCTTCAAGATTGAATGTTAGACCTAGACAGGACTGTAGGGGACAATCAAATCTTATTCTTAACAAATGAAGTTCGTTTGTTCAGATACACAAACTAAGATGAGTATAAGGTTTGAAGTTCTGGTCTTGTGAGTGAAATAAGTAAGGAACAGAGGTATGTATAGTATGCTGTAACTTATACCTTAAAGGAGCCTTTATTCTATGTGCATATTCACAGAATATCTTTGGAAAAATAGGGGAGAAATGGGAAAGTTGTCGCTTCAAAGGGAAGGAATTTTAGACACTGGAGAATAGAAGTATATGTGAAATTCACGTTTTTTTCTGGATATTCTTTGCTACTCCTTAATAGCTTACACGTCTTTCACTATTATTGAAAGAGTATAAGCTCCTTGAAGGAGCACCATTATCCATTTTATAGTCATCTTTGTAATCCCTGGCTAGGTCTAGCTTTGTTTCTGGCAAGTATTCAAGTTATCGCTAACTTCTTACAACAGATATTTTTTTCCACCTAAAATAAATTTGACTATTATTTAGTATAAATCAATATTAATTTTTGTCTCTTTCCAAATGGTTTATAATAATCATTCTTACAAGACCAGGAATTAACAGCTTTCTATCTTCGTGTACGTACCAGTGTATCTATTAGAGTACAATCGAAATAAACAGTTCTTGAGACTATTCTGACTTATGAAATGGAGAAAGTTTTATAAATCATTTTGCTAACAGATGTTTCTTCATTTTTCCTTTTGGAGGAAAACGATTAGTTAGTATATTTAGAAAAATTGTATAGCAGTGAATTTTGTGGTAGGGATTCCTATTAAATATTTTCGTAGGTGCTTTTTATTAACCAATTCTTCTGTAGCCTGTTCACACTCTTGGCATTACTTTTAAATATGATGTTGCAAAGTCAATGCACATTTTCTCAAAAGTGGAAAACTGATCTAGGGTTAAATAATGCGAAGCAAAGAAAACAAATTCTCAGGAGAATGGAAATTAAATTATTTATAGACAAGTTTATTCGAAGTTTTCCAGAAGATGCTTACATTAAAAATTGTCAGAAACTCGCCACTTCTCTCTCTCTCCAAGATTCTGATTATATTCCATTTAGGAGTCATACTGTCATGAAATCCCCCATTAAGTTCTGAGGAAAGCCCTACCATGTGTTAGCGGTCCTGGGGGGAGGAGAGAGGGAGGGGGTGAAGCAAACCTCAATGTGTAGCACACTTGCCCTCTAGTGGCCATTTCAAACACTGCTGTTCCTTGGACTTTTCTTCAGCTCTGGGTGTTTCCAAACATCTTTTCAAACGGGTTTTTAAAAACAGATAAGCCCCATTTATATTTATTCTGTTAACTGCTAATTTGCAAAGGGTGCTATTAAAGAGTTTAGAAACAGTTTATTCTTGTGAGTAGTGTAACATTCCCCATCTTATTTATACAACTAATTTACTTTGTAATCTCCTTCCCTTTGTAAGGTACACTGAAAAAATATAATGGACTCCAGGTCCAATTAGCCAAATTATAAACTAATGACTTCATAGTATTAATATAAGAAATAAATGGCATCACTGACTGCAAAATTATGATAGCGATTTTTTAAATGGAATGTTGGGGCAGTTACATGAAATACCTTTTTTCCAATTTGGAAGATTTCTGCAGTTCTTAATGTCATTTTTGTTCACTTTTTTATTTATTTGTCACCACACCACAGCAGCCAAGGGACATCTGGCCCGTGAAAAATCTCAACCCCTGGCTTAAATTCTATAAATTATTAATAGCTTCCATTTAGAAAAGAATTTTGGTGCTTACTACCAATGCCTGGCTTGTCACCAACTGTGCTTCCTTTTGGAGATTCTACTCTATCCATATGATTAAGTTTATTTTTTTAAAAAAAGATTTACTTATTTGTATATTCAAGAACTGGGGTGTCGCCAGAGGTCTGGGGGGTGAGAGGATTCACCAGAGACAGAGTGGGGAGCAGAACAGGAGGATCTACTGAAATACACTGCTGAGGGGAGCAGCAGGTAAGACAGGAGAGGTCTTCTGTACCATGTGGGTTATCTCCCAGGCCAGGGATCTAACTCATGTTGTGGTGGCTGGTGATCGCTTGATAGCACTGGGTCTTTAACTCCTGCACCACCAGGCAGGCCCCTCCATTATGATTAAGTTTAATGCAAATGTGTGACACCCAAAACAATGGTGCTTTCGAGAAGATAGACCTTTATTTCTCTCTTGCATAAACAAATTCCTAATTGAAGGGTCCATATGGCACCCCCCAGTGTTCAACCAAGACTGAGTTTTCTTCTAGCTTGTCAAAGTACCATGCTCAGTGTGCCATTTCCCCTTCTGGGTCCAAGGTATCAAGTCCATGTCCAGGCAGCGTGTTTGCATTCCAGCCACCAGGAAGGAAGAAGAGGAAGAAACTGCTCATCCTTTTTCAGATCCTTCTTGGTAGTTACTCCCATTATAACTACATCCAAATTGTCTAGAACCCCATCACATTACCACATCTACTGCAAGGCCTTCATTCTGTTCCAGGGGAAAGTGAGAAGTTCCAGTATAATGGGAGAAGGCAGAACTAACAATCAGGGACAACTAACAATCTCTCCTATGGCCTACCATTATGATAATTGCCTTCACTTGACAAATCCTACTCTTCTCTGATTTTTGTTTTTTATGGAAAGGTAACATGTTCTTTTGTCTTGTGACAACGTGAATACACGCATCATTCATGTCTTCCACTCATGAAATTCTGAAGATAATGACCGTGTTTCCTCCTTTTTTATTCTTCTTTCTCTGCATAAACTCCAGCAACTTGACCTGCTGGTTTTCACCATGTTGGCTCTTTCCTTCCTTCCACAGGTGATGGCTGGGCCGCCTACCCCTGTTCAGCTGCTGGGAGTGCTCCTCACCATCTCCTTGGGCTTCAGGATCATCCAGGCTGGTGCCTATTATGGGATCAAGCCACTGCCACCTCAGATACCACCACAAATTCCACAATACCAGCCCCTGGGCCAGCAAGTACCTCACAGGCCTTTGGGTACAGATGGCCTTAGCATGGGCAAGGAGGTGCCCCACATGCAATATGGCAAAGAGTACCCACATCTGCCCCAATATAGGAAGGAAATTCAGCCAGTGCCAAGAATGGGCAAGGAAGTGGCACCTAAGAAAGGAAAAGGTAACATCCTACTCCTGCATGGTTATAAAATATTAAATTTCCAAAATCCTTTACTATGAGATTAAGAAGGAAGAGTTAAGTTTCAGGAACTTTTTTTAAAATGCCTTACCGACATTCATAAATGACTAATGTGTTCTGAACTCTATCCTTGAAAAGTTCAAGTCTTAAAGAAATATACAGACAAAAAACTACCATTTTATGTTATATCTTATTATCTTAACAACATCAAGTGACACCAACCATATTAAATAACAAATAGTTTATTCCCTTATTCATTAGCTATATATTCAAACATTTGGCAACTATTTCACAAGTGTTTATTTTTGTGTCAGGCTCTGGGTCAGTTGCTGGGGTAAAAGCAGTGAAAATAAATGGCAACAAGTCGGTGCTCTGAAACAGAAGAGCAACTTTCTAGAGACCTGCTGTGTTTAAAAAAAGAAATCAAATGAACACACTTTGTGAAAAATACAAGTGTTTTTAATATTTCTCTAAGTTGCCACACATGTTCAATCAATAAAGGAACAGGAGACTGACTAGATACCATCTCTAGATGGCATCTAGAGATGATATCTGAAAATCTCTTTCATTACTTTCTAGGTACTAGTTATTCAGCACCCACAAAATGCCTGTCACTGTGAGAAACTGCTTATAAATTCAGTTGGTTTATCTGGAGATCTAGAAAACCTAGCATTTGTAGGAAAGAAGCTGCATCAGAATAGCAATTCTCATGGAGGAAATAGAGGCCATTCCCACTGGTCCTTACATAAGGAAGAAGCTCCACTTCTGGGGAGCTTAGCATTTGATGCTAAGAGACCTCAGTGCCAGGAATGAAGAAAACCTAGTCATTTAACCTCTCTGAAACCTACTTTTCTTCATCTGTAAAGTAAGATTGCTGATAGAATCAATGACAAGGTAAGTAAGAGGCTAAGTAAGCAGTAAAGCACCATAAGAACTTTTGAGTTGCTACACTAGTTATTCAGCAAAGTGTAGGTAAGAATGTCCCATGTTCTCTGTACTGTTCTAGAGACCAGGAATTCCTGGTGAATAAGACACAGCCCTACCTCAGATGCTCCCTTAATATAGCAGCTACACAATTAATACACTGTTTAGAACTAACTTGCCTTAGTAGCACTATTGCCACATCTATTTGCATAAAAGAAATGCAGCAGGTTCTGGAATAAGGTCATTTCATTCAGTGTCATTTCATTACCACACAGATGAGAAAAACCAAATCCCTTTCATTATACACTGTTTCGCTGGATGTCTCAGTGCCCAAGAACATATAGATGAGGACTTTCTACGTTCCCAATCTTCTTCTCTGATACCCCACTTAGGTTATTATCTTAGCCATTGTCTTTCCTTCCTTTCTTGCATGACCTGCCTGGCTCTTGGCACTTGCAGCACTTATCCAGATGGGTACCAGAGATCAGTCCAGGGATTCAGAAAGAATATGAGGTCGATGGTTCTATTTTATTCCCTGACAGTAGCTCATTAAAAAAAAAATACAATAGACAGGATTGAAATGTGAGTGTTGGTTAATTAGGCTTTGGGGTCATATATTTCATTTCTTTACATTATCAATTACTCCCAATAACATGGAAGATCCAGAGTTGAATCCTCTTCAAGGACAAGGTACAATACAATCGTGATAATAAAATACACTTGGTATTTCAGTAACTATTTGAAAAAGCATATCGCCCAGCACATCTATTATCGAATTTTATCGTGTGGGTATTATTCTTGCTGTGCAGATGGGCAAGCAGAGATGCTGGTGACTTAAGTGACCTAGTCAAAATCTCCTTGGAAGGTGGAGAACAGAAGCTGACCTTCCTGTTGCTAACCCAGCTCAATTCCTTATCCACACAGCATGTCATCCAAAAATATCATTCACTTCTCCAGTTTAAAAACTTGCAAATGAGCAATAACCTATTAAAGTGGAAAAGCTAATTTTAAGGCTATGGAACCCCTAGAGTGTATTAAAGAAATTAGGCATATCTATTTGACTCTAGAGGACAAATATTGAAAATGCTATTGAGCTACATACAAAATAAAAATTCTTGTTTTCTTTCCTGAGTCCACATCATAATATCTTTCATCATCCATACCATACTGTATTATTTAGAGAAAAGTTATTATATAAAAAAATCAAAGCATAGAAAAGACAATACAGTGTTAAGTAGGAAAAATAGAAAAATTAAAACGGAGAATGACTCCAACATTATTTAAAACACAAAACACATACACAATACCTAGAACCTCGAGCTAGAAATACATGTAATGCCAAGAGACTATCTCTGAGTAATGGATTTACTAGCAACTTTGACTTTTCATTGTCCTTTGTATTTTCTAATCTCTCTATAGTGAACACAACATCTCCACATTTAATATCTGGAAAGTGTTTCTTCATAACTTTTTAGCTTTTTACTTAACTGATGTTGATGAAAGCAGCAGATGTCAGTGCTCAAAACACTATCTCAAATATGGCAAAGAAATCATCAGCCTGAGTGTCCTTTAAATACTGATCACACTCAGTTTTGGAAAGTGAGCACATTATTTCTGGTCCTGTGTTAAGTAATAGATGAATGTGTCTGGACTAAATGATTGTCATGTCTTCCTTGCAGTGAAAGATAGTATCAATGTCTCTCTTTTCACCCTCCCCCCATCCTCTTTCCAGCCGAAATACCATTAGCCAGTCTACGAGGAGAGCAAGGTCCCCGAGGAGAGCCTGGCCCAAGAGGACCACCTGGACCCCCAGGTATACCAGGTCATGGGATACCTGGAATCAAAGGAAAACCAGGGCCTCAGGGATATCCAGGAATTGGAAAGCCAGGTATGCCTGGAATGCCAGGAAAGCCAGGAGCCATGGGAATGCCTGGGGCAAAAGGAGAAATTGGACCCAAAGGAGAAATTGGGCCTATGGGAATCCCTGGGCCACAAGGACCTCCAGGGCCTCATGGACTTCCTGGCCTTGGCAAGCCAGGTGGGCCAGGGTTACCAGGGCAACCAGGTGCAAAGGGTGAACGAGGACCCAAAGGACCACCAGGACCTCCAGGTCTTCAGGGTCCTAAAGGAGAGAAGGGCTTTGGGATGCCCGGTTTACCAGGCTTGAAGGGCCCTCCAGGGGTGCATGGCCCTCCTGGCCCTGTGGGACTTCCAGGAGTGGGCAAACCAGGAGTGACAGGATTCCCTGGGCCCCAGGGTCCCCTGGGAAAGCCAGGCCCTCCAGGTGAACCTGGGCCACAAGGCCCTATTGGGGTACCAGGGGTTCAAGGACCTCCTGGGATACCTGGGGTTGGAAAACCAGGCCAGGATGGGATCCCTGGTCAGCCGGGATTTCCAGGTGGCAAAGGGGAACAAGGATTGCCCGGGTTGCCAGGACCTCCAGGCCTTCCAGGGGTTGGGAAACCAGGCTTCCCAGGACCTAAAGGTGACAAGGGCATAGGGGGTCTTCCTGGACCTCTTGGACCAAGAGGGGAGAAAGGACCAATAGGTGCCCCTGGAATAGGGGGTCCCCCAGGAGAACCAGGCCTACCTGGAATCCCAGGTCCAATGGGCCCTCCAGGTGCCATTGGTTTTCCTGGCCCCAAAGGAGAAGGTGGGGTTGTGGGACCACAAGGGCCACCAGGTCCTAAAGGTGAACCAGGGCTTCAAGGCTTCCCAGGAAAACCCGGCTTCCTTGGAGAAGTGGGGCCCCCTGGCATGAGGGGTTTACCAGGTCCTTTAGGGCCCAAGGGGGAAGCTGGGCACAAAGGTTTGCCAGGGCTCCCTGGGGCTCCAGGGCTGCTTGGACCCAAGGGAGAACCAGGAATCCCAGGGGATCAGGGGCTACAGGGCCCCCCAGGCATCCCAGGGATTGCAGGCCCTAGTGGTCCCATTGGACCACCTGGAATTCCAGGTGCCAAAGGGGAACCAGGACTCCCAGGGCCCCCTGGGTTCCCAGGAGTAGGGAAGCCTGGAGTAGCAGGACTTCATGGCCCCCCAGGAAAGCCTGGAGCCCTGGGTCCTCAAGGTCAGCCTGGCCTTCCCGGGCCCCCAGGCCCTCCAGGGCCCCCAGGCCCCCCAGCTGTGATGCCCCCTACATCACCACCCCGTGGAGAATATCTGCCAGATATGGGGCTGGGAATTGATGGAGTGAAACCCCCCCATGCCTACGGGGCTAAGAAAGGCAAGCACGGAGGGCCAGCTTACGAGATGCCCGCATTCACCGCCGAGCTGACTGCGCCTTTCCCACCGGTGGGCGCCCCAGTGAAGTTTGACAAACTGCTCTACAACGGCAGACAGAACTACAACCCCCAGACGGGCATCTTCACCTGCGAGGTCCCTGGTGTCTACTACTTTGCATACCACGTTCACTGCAAGGGGGGCAATGTGTGGGTTGCTCTGTTCAAGAACAACGAGCCCATGATGTACACATACGACGAGTACAAAAAGGGCTTTCTGGACCAGGCATCGGGGAGCGCGGTGCTGCTGCTCAGGCCGGGGGACCGTGTGTTCCTCCAGATGCCCTCAGAACAGGCTGCAGGACTGTATGCCGGGCAGTACGTCCATTCCTCCTTTTCAGGATATTTATTGTATCCCATGTAAAAAAAAAAAAAAGAAAAAGAAAAGAAAAAGAGAGATTTAATAGAAGAAAAGAATGATGCGCCAAAAAATTCAAATGAAAAATATAATTGCTTTAAAACATTTATATAGTTGGAAAGTTATATTTAAGTGAAAATTTGAACCATCATGTACAAATAAAAACTAAGATGCATGTCTAATGATCTGCACAGCAGCTTGTAACTGAAAATGATGGGGTAGATTTATGTGTCATTTACCGACCCCCATGTTGTACCCACTGGAACACATTTGCTGTTGTATGTTATATGCTTCCATCATAACCTGTTTACTCAAATCAGTCAAAATATCTCAGTAGGAAAGATCATAGCTAATGAAAATCACTCACTCATATAGTTTAAAAATTATAAATATGGTTTAAGGAAACATCAATGACAACAATCACACACTGTATTTACTTACATAATTGCCTCTGTATTTGTGCAGATATTTTGCCTTGGGATGTGGGTAAGGAGTTCAGCAGTTTCTGCCACAGTGCAAGGGTGTCAGAGGGACCATGGTAGGAATGTAGTCTAGAGGATCTCTCTCCAAAGCTGTGTCTTTTAGCCAATCCTACTCAGGATTGTCTCATGTCTCAAGGACAAGTGAACCAATCAACTGTAGTGTATCTACTGGTGCCACCTGTGTGTATAGCATGGGGTGAGACACGTTGTAGGGACAAGGCAGTGCCTCACAAGGAGCGAGTAAACTGGCTGGGAGACATGAACAGCAATCAACTCATTTATTCCTAAAGGGTGCTTTTGGTATTGGTTTTTTTTTTTTTCTTTAATTTTTTTTCTTCCCTTCATGTAATTTCCACTATGGCCAACTAATATGAACACCCACAAGCCATAAAAAACTAGTAATACCCACTCCTCCACAGCTTTTTAGCTTTATGGAATGGTCATTATAAATAGGGGTTATTAATTGTATTTACATGCATATAAAAATCCCTCTACTTTGCCTGTACACACAAATGATTACAATGAGGTTTTTTTCATCCATGAACAGAATTAATATTCTTAGTAACTATTGAATTTTAAAGAAATTTCTCTGTCTACTATATGTGCAAATCGGTGTACCATCTGAGGTTCTAGAGATCATTTCCAAAATCCAAAACATTTTTTTATTTTGGGTGACACTGGGGGAAATTTCAAGATTACATAGGAAAATTAATTTAAAAATATGTTAAGTTTTTCATTTAAAAATAGACACATTACTTCCTGATGTAACTACTAAAATTGTGGGGACAGAACTGCTTCTTTAGACTCACCCTGTGGAAGAGCTACCAGAGTGTCAAAGGGTGCTGACAGCTTGTGCTTTTGATGACATCTCATACTCAGCGTAAGTCAAGAGTGGATACAAGTTTGAAGGGAAAATTAAATATTTTTCCAGGTCTTCTCTTAGGTTCAGGCCCACTTTGCTAGGCATTCAGATCTGCTTTCACAACTCAGACACAGCATTTCATGTTGACTATTTGTTGGTGCTGACATTATAAGGCACTGGGGGAAATCATGTTTTTGTGGTGGTGGAATCTTCCATCGTTTCCTCAAAATTAAGAGTGAAGCGTCAAGTGGGTAGGTACAGATGGGAAAATACACAAATAAATACAGTATAAACACACATGGAAATGCGTCTATGCCAAATAAGGATCATTTTAACCATCAAGAAAATTCTCCTCAACCTACTGTCTTTTTCCTTACAAAGTATACAAGCACCATTTCATCTCAATTTCTTAAAGAGATGTGAGTTGATTACCATAGCGTTTCTTATTTACTCCTAATTCTGACAAACTTTTCCTATCAAAAAGATGTTCCATTTAACCTTCCTTTTCAATGCAGACCACATTTATGTAGCCAGATATCCTTTGAATTGGTTTTGAGAGTGTTGATTTTGGGCTGACGACTATGAGGCAATGTAGCTACATTGGGTGCTCTGCCGAGTAGCTGTACTGAAGCAAGTCAGGTGCTGATTTGTATATGTGCTGCCGAAGCAAACACAAGTCAGATGCTGATTTGTAAAGCTATATTTATCTGTACATGTATGGGCTGTTTATTTTCACCAATTAAGAGTCTCTTCAGTTAAAAACAAATTTCACTTTCAAAATACCTTCCAACTTATTTATTGGCTGTTATTCAATTGCCTGTGTTTGTGTGTGTGTGTGTGTATTAATCAGGCATATGCTTCTACCTGTTAGATGAGAGGAGCAAAAGCTATGCCAGATACTGTATATTCTACAATGGTGCTAATCTCAGAGCTAAATGGAATGACTCCATTTAATTTAAAAAAGAGTTTTAAATAATTATCTATGTGTCTGTGTTCCCCTTTTAAGTGTTGCACATCAGGTTAACACATTAGTGTAAGAGCAGATGAAACAACCACATGTTCTAAAGTCAAGGGATACTGCTATAATCCCTATTTAATTCAAAATTAACTAGAAATTTTCCATATGAAATGGACCAAACTGGCATTATTGTTATTTAAATACAGAGTTTTAATGCAATATGACATCCTACAAGGGAAAAGAATGTCGGTAGTGGGTGACTGTTCTCAAATATTTTACCATGAATGATGAACAGACTGGTAACTTTCTTGAGTTTCCATGATAGATTTGAGACTTGCCAATAGAAAATCATTTTTGTATTTAAATTTTTGTATTGATTTGAAAAAAAAAGTCTTATTAAATATCTTTAAAAGTATGTTTCTTCTCTTGTTCCTATCTCTTAACACCGAACCTCAAGACCTTTTTATTCTCTGATGTGTTAATTAACTGATGAAACAGAGACCCAAGGTAGTCACAGCTTAAACAGGACAAGTGATTTCATGCAGTTGCTCCAGCCAGAATCTCAGTTTCTTCTGTCATGTTGTTCTTCCACCACAAAGTTGTTGCCTTCATCTCCAAGGTCACCATAACTGCCACATTTCAGTCAGTGAAAAGGTGAAAAAAAATCAGGCCAGGAAGAGCAGGCTTCCATTTTAAATGACTCAACCCAGCAGTTGCATACATCACTCCCTCCCAAACTCCAGTGCCCTGAATCTACATTCATTGCCACAAGAAGTTGCAAGGGAGAGTGGGAAATTAAACAATTATGAGGGTGAGCACATGTCCCATTAGAAATCAGGGGTCCTATTGGAAAGAGAAAAGATACTAAGAGACAATGAACTGCTGCATCTATCATAACAGAAAAATAGTGCCACAAATCTCTCTTCTCCCACAAGAAATCAGTTTTCAAATGCTTTATCTAATTTCACTTTGCCAAATGAGAGCCACATAGTTTGAGGAGAAATAGTGGCAAGTAGAACTACAGAGAAGCATCACTGAAATGGAAAGAATTCTTTCGTGATGAGTTATCAAAGCCAGAATGATCATAGTTTATTGTGTATGGAATATTATAAATGGATTATTGAAACCATGCAACAAGCAAGTATGTACTACCCGTCTGTGGCTGGTTAAGTCAATGTTTAAACCAACCATCTGAACCATCTGGAAGTTCAAGACCACAGCTTCCATTCTTGGACAACTCAATTAGTTCTATTTCATTCCACAGCCAAACACTTTCCATAACAGACAGAGTGTCTTTTGTACACGCAGTGTTGGTCACGAAAGTGAGTGTAAGGATGGAATCCGGAGACAGGGGCAGGGAGGAAAATGTGGTTGGAAGTCAGAATGCCGGACAAACAGGGCCAATTGATTATTCCTGTGAATGAACAGAGTAACTGAAAATATATATATGTATCTTACAAAGAACTATAGCATCCCTTTATGTTAAAACAAAATACAAAGTAACACTTACTTTGTGCCTGATCTTACTAGGCAATATGAGGGAAACCAAACCACAGGAACACGTGACCCTTCTCCTTTTTAAAGAAATAGCTTCTGTTTGGAGGATATCAAGATGTTTTCTAAATAAGAAATTAACTCCAGGTGATACACAAACAAGTGAAATGTGGTATATGACACCAACTGGATGCCCTTGTGCTAGAGAAATTAAAAAAAAGAGAAACCATTAATCCCTCCTCACCTCCCAGACATAGTATAAGCATTACCTCCAGGTTCCTATTGCTCAGATTTAGTGACTTGCTCTGTGTCACAACACTACCTTGCGCCATCTTCTGTCCCTTCACTCTTTTTTCTTTGTGACTGACCGTTTGTCTACCTCCCCTGGGAGACTGGGGGCAAGGGTTCCGTGAGCAGGCACCTCATCACGCCGTCTCTGCGTCATGTGAGCTGGTCCAGTACTATATTTAAGGGAAGAATGAATCTCTTAAGGTCACTAGGGGACTAAGTTTGATGTGAGGTTTGACTGAATCCACTTCTTGGATTCCAAGACTAAACAGAAGATTATATGTTCCAGGAATGTTTAGTTAGAAGCCTACTGTGGAATGAAACCTAGTTTCAAATAGTGATTCGAAGGACATGATTTTTAAGGAAATCATCTTTAATTCGAAAGAACTTGGGTGAGCAGAGTATTTAGGGACTCACAGAGAAACAACCTCTTCTCCTCTCATAGAGAAGAGAAAACTGGTTCTGTGTTTATGTGTATGGTCATGTTCTGGGAGAGAGGATGGAAGACTGAGGTAGGGACTATATCAGTTATCTACTCAAGGACTAATAAAACAAACTGATCTAATAAAAGAGGAGCAAATGATGAAAAGTTTTTCACACACGTTCATTCTTTAACGTACAATGAGAGGATGGTGTAGATCCTTAAGTGAGGAAAAGGTATGAAAATAAGAAATTTAGAAAAGTTATTTTGAAATTCTTACAGAGGACATAAGACACAAGTAAAACTGACAAGGAGTTCAGAGGGGCCTGAATCCAGAAATGGGTAGATGGGTTGTGGTGATGAGTTCTAGAGAAGCCTCATGAGTCAGATCAGGTCAGGTCAGGTCAGGGCTGAAAGGCTGCACGACGTTGGAACTATTTCAAGGGGTAGGCAGTGATCTGAAGAAGAGAGGAAAACTAAAGATAGTGGAAAGACTGGTAGTCAAAGGTGGTCTCCTTTCATAGATACACATGGGTGGGCAAAGGTGGTCTCTCATAGATACACGTGGAAAATGGGTGACAGAAATGGGTGGTCCACTAGCAGAGCATATTCTGGGCAGGAAAAGAAGACACTCAGGTTGTAGATACGTGGGGTTTGACCTGTGGCGGAAAAGCCTGTGCTCCAGACGTGCATTTGGTGAAAAGGTGAAAGGTGGAGCCATGAGCCTGGAGACATTTTATGGCCTATTCTAAGATGGAGAAAAAAGGGCTAACTTGAAATTACTAGCACAATTTACAGACAAAAAAAAAGATTAAATTGCTTTCAAATCTCCTCCTTTACTTTCTGCAAGAAATTATTTAACAAATCCTTTCAAATAGACACAGCTAAGGTAAATGTTAACCCAATCCATATGGAATTACAATTCCAAATACACAGGGTCAACATAGAGTATAAATCAACAACATTTTACTGTATTTCAGAAGTTTTTCTCATTAGTGGTCATTGTGATTCTAAAAATGCAAACATCCATTCATATCCATATGATGAAGAAAAAAAACAACTAGAGTGGTCTTCAGGCTATCTTTTGTTTAGCAAAGAGTTACACAGAATTTCTGGTGCTTTCTCTCCTTTTAAAAACCATTATTTGTATCAAGATAAATTTTGTCCTCAGACAAGTTATTCTTTATGATGTCAAATAGCAGTTAATGGCATTTATTATTACAAAAGAATTTTTTTTCCAATTCTTGGAGATGAGTGTAATGGAATTTAAATAAAAAGTGGGGCAAATTTTAACAAGTTATTCAGAAGTTTCTTATGTATATCACTGAAACACAGGACCAGCTAATCAAATTTTCCTTGGAGGCATCCAGAACGTTTCCAGAGATTTTTTTCTTTGCTATCTTACTGCAAGTTAAAATATTTTTTTTTATTAGAATCAAAAGCACTTCTAAATTAAAGTTTATGAATCCTGTGGAGACCTACATTTCACATGCCTTGTTAAAACCACCAAGACCTAAAAATTAATTTTGTAATGAGGCTGGCCAAGTTAGTTCTGTCTGACAAGTGAGTGGCTGGCAGCAATTTTCACATCTGCTCTTCATTGGGGAAGCAGAGACACAATGGGGAAAACTGGTGGAACACTTACAAATCTCCAATTGTCTATTACTAATAATAGTTGCCTTTCCTCACCAAAGGTAATGCTGTCCTGGTCATCTGTTCTACCAAACCAGAGTCATCATTTCAGAACATGTTAGGAGAAGGCTTGGGGTCAGACTCTCAGAAAATAAACCTCAGTTCCTCATTTATCAGCTGGGGTATCTTCAGCCAATTATTTAACATCTCTAAACTTCAGCTTTTGTACACACAACATAGTAAAAGATAATAGTGACTATTTTCTGCAGTAGTTGGAAGATGGATGAAGCAATAGAATATGGAAGGGTAACAATTGCTGCTACTTACTAAGTCCCAACCACGTGTAAGAAAACTGCTTTAAGAATTTTTTTAAACGTACTTAGATACTCAAGATACTCTGTTATTAGCGCCACATTTTTTTTGGGGGGGGAACTTATTTTTTTTCCTACTTTTTTTTTAATTTTATTTTTTATTTTTGTTTATTTATACAAGCACTGGGTACAGTCAGAAGTGTGGGAGGGTGAGAGAATTCACCAGAGCCAGAGGGGAGAGCAGAGCAGGCAGACTGACGAGGTACACTGCTGAGGGGAGCAGTGGGTGTGGCCGGAGAGGTCTCTGCGCCATGTGGGACCCTCGCCTGGTGGCCGGGGATCGAACCGGCACTGCAGAGGCTTTGGGCAGCTTTGCAACAGCGCTCAACTGTTTTGCCACTGGGGCGGCCCTATTAGCTCCACTTTAAGGCTGAAGAAACTGAGGTATAGTAACTTGTCCAAGAGCTAATAAATGAAAATGCCTAGATTTTAACCCAGATATGATTTCGGAGACCATGCACTGAACTAATGTACCACATTGCATCAAGGCAGGAGATAAAAGTTCTAAACTGTCTAAGAAGCAAGCAGCAGCCATTGAGGGTTCAGGATGCTGGCTCGTCTCAAGAAAGAGAGAGATGACTGAGGTCTCAGTTACTACTAATTGTTCTTACCAGGGAGCTACCCACATGGTGCAGCGACCTCTCCTGACTTGCCCACGGCTCCCCTCAGCAGTGGACTTCGGTCATTCCACCTGTTCTGTTCTCCACTCTGTCTCTGGTGAATCCTCTCACTCCCACACCTCTGGCCTGTACCCCGTTCTTGTATGCATAAATAAATAAATCTTTTTTTAAAAGAATTGAAAATATGTTCATAGTAACATTCATATTTTCTAAAATGTTGGAAGTAACAATGTTCATCAATGTGTTGTCATTTTTGGAGTCTGTGAGTTTTGAGAGCGGGGTCCTTGGTTTCACTCTGGGAAAGGTTTCACCAGAGCTCCCTTTCAGCAGCACATGGCGAGTTTCCCTGGCGAGTTTCTCCATGAGACAGAGACATTAGTTTTATTTAAAGAACAGGTTTACTAGGGAAGCGATAAAACAGTTAAAGATACTTGCACAGACACAAGCGGGCAGGAAGAGCCACCCCAAAAGGGACAGGTTTGCTAAGAGAGGCCTGCATGGTTGCCATCAGCTGGTCTTGGACAGGCAGGAAGGCTGCTGCCCTGCAGAGGAGAGAGTTGGTAAAAAGAGGCACCTGCATAGTCATAGGTGGGCATTGGGATTGCTGCCCTGAGCCTGTGCAGAGACTGAACTGATATAGTCTTCTGTTTGGGAGGGGTCACTCCTTGTGAGTCGTCAGTTGGTTGCTAATTTTGGATAACTATGTAGAATTTGAAAGGGACGGGGAGATTCTAAAATGGGCTCAATCTCCATATCTTTACCTTTGGATGCGCCTGCCCTCGGGATACCTGCTTGGATGTTATGCTTTGTTATCTAGGTGTCCATGCCTAAGGGTACTAGTTTCTGCAACTGTGTGGTTTGTGCCCAAGGATCTTAGTTTTCATAACTGTGTCGTCAGCTCCTCAGATCTTGGTTTCCGTGTCAAATGGCTATGCTAATCTCTTCTACCCCCACCTCCTTGTGTGAGCCAGGTTTCTGGTCTTGTGGTGCATCTCCTTTTCAGTTTTTTTTCCTGTTCTTGTCCTCCATCAGATGTATGACTGGATAAACAAAATAAGGTATATACACACAGTGGGACATTATTCAGTCTTAAAAAATATGAAGGCAATTCTGATACATGCCATAACACATATGATCCCGGAGGGCAGTATGCCAAGAGAAATATATCAATCACAAAAGCATATTGTATGAGTTCACTTGTATCAGGACCTGGAATAGTCAAATTCACAGAGGCAGAAAGTAGAAGGGTTGTTTCAGGAGCTGGGGAATGAGGGACAGAAATAGGGAGTTTTGCAAGATGATAAGAGTTCTGGACATGGATGGTGGTGTTTGCACAACAATGTGAATGTACTTAATGCCACTGAATTATACACTTAAGTTAGGATATAAATTTCCCATTATTTGTATTTTACCCACAATTTTTAAAAATAATTAAGAATTAAAAACTAGAGGGAAACCACCTGTCACTAGGATAACCAATGATGTAGGAGGTAACTGGAAATGGTCTCCAATAGTCTGCCTTACTTGCAAGCTCACTACAGTGCTCCCCACGTGGGGAGGGTGTCCAAGCAGCACCACTGTGGTGGTCTAGAAATCTTGAATCCAGGAGAGCTCTGCAGACCACTATGGGGTGTGCCACCCACAATGGGTCCTCTATTTCAGTGGAAGTTACCTTCCCAGGACCTCATGACCTGGCTGCTGGAGGGAGACACTGGGCTTCCATCCAGTGATCCCAAAATGAAAACTAGAATGAGCTCCTTCTTCAAGCCCAAACATGCAATCTCCATGCCAATTTTCTGGTTACAAAGGTTTTTCTTTCTCTAAATGAGGAAATCATTGTACAGCATATACTCCTCAAGATATGAAGTAAACAAAAGTAACATTCAATTCACCCACCTGCCTCACTAGGCCCTGTGGGAAAAAGTGGGAAAATTCTTACCGCTCTAGGCAGGGTACCCACTTCTGTTAGATGAGAGAGTAGGGTGTCAGCAACTTGCAGGTTTCCCTCTTGTGGCTAGAGGAGAAACAGCAGTTCCACAGCAAAATTTTTTTCTTACATCATTTCAGGGGGTCAGGAATTGAGAGTGGACACAGAGTGAATTGTTTGTCTCTGCTCCATGATGTTTGGGGCTATTGATGGCAGTGAATCAACAAATGGGGCCTGGAATCATCTAGAAGCACCTTCATTTACTGGTCTGGTTGTTGATGCTGGTTCTCAGCAAGGACCTCTGCTGAATTGAATACCCATGTATATTCTTTACTTGTTGTTTCTTTGTGTGGATACATTGGGCTTTCTCACAGAGTGATGCTGAGTTCCAAGTGAGCTTCCCAAGGTATCAAAGTAGAAATGCATAGAATTTTCAAGATCTGGCCTCCTAAGTCACAGACCATCCTTTCACCATAATCTATTGATTGAGGTGATAGATTTGCCCAAGTTCAAGAAAAGGGAACACAGAATTCACCACTCAGTGTTTGAAGTGTCAAGGTCACATGTAAGGAGAATTTATAGGGGAGATATTAGTGGCAATCTTTGGGAAATATAACTGCCATCTGTCCTCCTGGTTGTTTGATGCCTCATCTGTGGTGGATATTCTCTGGTGGTGTTGGGAAAAGCAATCAAGGAAATGTGACTGCCTTTTGACCTAGACTCAGGCAATCAGTGGCTCCTCCTCACCACCACCACCAGGAATGAGCATTTCACTTGCCTTCCCCACTCCCAGAAACAGCCCAAGGACATACCTCTGAGTTAAATGTGTTGTTAAGATCATCTGGAAAATACATTTGATTAAACCAGTTAAAGCCTCTATATAAACTTTTACTGTTGGGGGAGTAGGTACAGAAAACTCTCTTTTCATGCTGCCACTACAAACATAGCCTCTCGGTAAATTCCCTTGGTTCTTAAAACTGTTACCTAAGAGTATGGTTTGCTTTCTCTTTTCTTTTTCTTTTTGTCTTTCCTTACACCCGGGTTGTGATCCAACAGGTGGATCCAGACATGGGACACAAACATCCACACGCTTTGTATCCCTTAAAATACTCTCTTAGGTCTCACTACATGCATCCTCCCCTTTGCTATAAAACTCCAAATATTGTTATCTTCTTGGCCCTTGATCCATCAAGGGCCCTGCTCAAGATGCTGTGGTAATCTTTATCCCAGAATATTTCTTTCTCTATTTAATGAAAGAAATCTTTATCTCAGAGTATATCCTTCTCTGATTAAAGGAGATGACTAAATACACTTATTTAAGCTCTGCCCAATAGGATCTTCTCACTGCTGTCCTTTAAAATCCCCCACCCCCACCCCAAGTAGGACTGCAGTGCAATATAGCAGTCCATTTTGAACTTTGCCAACATACCAAGCTCAAAGCAGCCTTAAGTATTTTCCCCAAACATCATTGGTCAGTCATAAGGGATACCCCATGAGCCAATAGGTGTGAGCTGAGGAATACAACAGGCATGGAGACCTGTCACCTATTCATGTTACTTGCGTATTATTCCTGGACTTGTGTAGGTATCATCTCATGTATAGTATTTCTATCATTCAGCTGTGTGCATCCAACCTCACAAAACTCAGGAGAAAAAACAAAGTATCTTGCTTCCTGGTTTTAAACTACACTATAAAGCAACAGTAATTAAAACAATGTGGTCCATGTGTCTATTTTTAGACCAATGGAGAGGAACTGAAAGCACAGAAACAAATCCACATATATGTCAATACTTAATTTATGATAGAGGAGCTACAACCATAGTGGAGGATGCGGAGTCTCTTTAACAAATGGTGCAGGAAAAAACTAGACAGTCACATATAAAAGTATGAAGTTGGACTGCTGTCTATCTCTATACACAAAATTATATTCTAAATAGACTAAAACTTAGATGCAAGACCTACAACAATGAAATATACAGAAAAAATACTAGAATGTTTCATGACATCAACGATAAAGATGTTTTTAGAGACCCAACCCTTTCAGCAAAGTAAATAAAAGCAAAAATTAATGACTTGGATTATCTCCAGTTAAAGAGTTTTTATTTATTTATTTATTTTTATTTATTTAATTTTTTTGTGGGACCCTTGCCAGTGGCCGGGGATCAAACTGGCGCTGCAGAGGCTGCGGGCAGCCTCACAACCCAGCGCTCAACTGCTGCGCCACCAGGGGAGGCACAGTTAAAGAATTTTTAGAAAGCAATGTATATAGAAGTCTATATGTGTGTGTGTGTGTGTATAAATTTGAAAGGCATCTATGAGTGGGAGAAAATATTCACACAATAAACAACTAAAAAGGGGATATCAAAAATATACAAAAGATGTTTTCAATTCAACAATAAAAAATGAAAACACCATTAATAAATGGGCAGCAGATCTGAACAGACAACTCACCAAAGAGAATATCCAGAAGGCTAGTAAAGACAGGAAAATGCTCATCATCACTTTAAATAAAGGAAATGCAGGTCAAAACAATGAAAAAAAAAAAAAAACCCACAATGAGATACCGTCTCACACCTGAGGGAATGATACATATTAAAAAGTCCTCCAACAACAGTGTTGAGAAGAATGTAGAGAAAAAGCAGCAGCATTATACTCTTGGTGGGAATGTAAACTACTGCAACCATTATAAAACATTATCTGTATTTACTTTAAAAAAACCTGAAAATGAAAATACCACAAGACCGAGCAATTCCATTTCTGGACCTCTATCCAAAGAAAATGAGACCACAACACACAAAAAAGTACATGCTCTATGATGTGCACAACAGTATTATTTACAATAGCTAAGAGATGTACACAACCTAAGTGCCCACAGATAGAAGATTAAATCAAGAACGTGTGGTATATCCACACAATAAAACACTATTCATCCATAAAGAAAAATGAAATGATCTCATTTACAGCAAAAATGGAAGTCAGAAAGACAAGCAAGTCAGAAAGCCAAAGACAAGTATTAGACATCTACATAGTGGATGATTTGACAAAGCAAAAATACTTATAAAAATTACAGGACATGGGCCTCCCCGGTGCCGCAGCGGTTGAGCGCTGGGTTGTGAAGCTGCCCACAGCCTCTGCAGCGCCGGTTAGATCCCTGGCCACAGGGCGAGGGTCCCACATGGCGCGCAGACCTCTCCTGCCGCCCGCTGCTCCCCTCAGCAGTGTATTTCGTCATTCTGCCTCTTCTGTTCCCCGCTCTGGCTCTGGTGAATTCTCTCACCCTCCTGCGCTTCTGACTGTACCCAGTGCTTGTATAAATAAATAAACAAACAAACGAATGAATGAATAAATAAATCTCTTAAAAAAATTACAGGAAACCAATATACCACTTTGGGGGGGAGGGATATACATATTAATGGTGGGGCACAGACTTTGTGTCCTAAAATGGAATAATTGCTATATGAGGTAGGATGTTGAGGGGATCAGAATATACCATCCCAAAATATATCACTTGGTCTAAAGGATACTCGTACATATCTCCCACATTTTACTGCCCCCTAGGAACCCAAAAGCCCCTTTTCCTTTGTGTAGTCATTTCTCCACAATTTTTCACCATTTGTTAAAATGGTATATATGACCCAGATCGAATTGCCTCTGTGCTTTCACGTCTTTGTGACACTGCTTATACATAAAAATATTAATTATCAATAAAGAAGCATATGCCTTTTCTACTGTTAAAAAAAAAATTACAGGAAACCAATAAATGAAGTGAGGATTCTGAGATTAAGAGGTGGGAAGTGCAAAAAGGGTGATAGGTGTATAGGGATAGTGGTGGGGGGAAAATCTGTAGTGGCAATAAAAGTAATAAAAATCTAAATGTAAAAATTTTTTTAGAGAAAATAACATAGCAACAACTAGAAACTATGTTGACTGATTCCGTCAAAGACAATATATCTGGTGCAACCTCGTGATTTGGATTACTATCTGAATAAATTGCGATAGTCCATCTTCATTTGCCATGGTTTATCTGGCTTTGGAAGTATCATACTGGTAAACTGAACCCCCTGCAGCCTTTAATCCTTTTTGTAATGAGAGAGTGCCTCTGATTTTCTATCTTTGCCAAGGAATGGGTGGGGAGGGGAGGGAGATAGTTTCAGGGACTTCCTCTTGGCCTTCCTACACCTTCGTAGGTCAGAGGATCAATGTGATGGTTCTGTCAGCTGGTAAGTATATCCATCTCAATTATATCCTCAACAACTAAAGAGATGACCATAAATTGATGGAGTCATTGTAGACACGATGATACAGATTTGGACCAGGGCTCTATATCACCCAGTCTCTGTTTGTCCCACTAACGGGTGGCTATGGTGTCAGTTCAGATTCCCTGCATCAATGTAATTCACCCTGTATCCAAGAAATCTTGAAACAGCTGGGTATTTTCCATTTCCCCAGTGAACAATTACTCTGAAAGATAGTAATAGGTCCCACTAGAAAAGGTGTAAGCATATAATCTCTTAGGGATTTCGTGAACTTGTCCTTCCGGACCAATTAACATTTTCTTTACTCTGATCGTACTAAGAGTATTTCTCGCATCTACAATTAAGGCCCAACACTCACAGTCATGAATTTCTGTGCAAGTATTGTAAGAGCAAACTGCAGCCTCGCGGACCCCAAATACACACAAACGAAAACACACCCACGTGTTCAAGCATCTCCCGGGTTCCAGGTTCTTTGAAAAAAAGAAAAAAAGAGAGAGAATGTTGTCTTGGCATCCTCTTTCACAGTTTCGCCAATTTCTTTTCAGCCAAAAAAAAAAAAAAAGGCAGCAAAAATTTTTTAAAGCAACTCGCCAGAATATGAAAATACTTTTTGTCTTATGTGCTTTCTTGTCTTTCTGCTTTTGGGGGGATTTATTTTGAGTCTCTACACTGATTCCGCCCGTGTGGAAACTGAGAGGCGTCAGAGCGGCTGCCAGGGAGGCGGGGCGGAGTAGAGACGTCATCGCACGGGGCGGAGGAGACGTTTGTGACCTGAGGCTCCTCGTGCGGCGACGCGGGTCGCATCTCTCAGAAGCAGCGTGACTTCCACCCGCCTTCCTCTGCCCCTGGCTGTCTTACCACGTAGAATCCCGCGCGGAGATGGCAGACGATCTGGGAGACGAGTGGTGGAAGAACCAGCCGGCCGGAGCTGCCAGCAACTCAGGTACCGACTCTGCCCGCGCTCCAGCGGGGCCTCCCTCTCCCCGCCTCCGCGCTCCCGGGCGCCTCAGCCCTGTCAGCCTCTGACTGTCACCGCGTGTGGCCCCCGCGGGGCTGCGCTCCACTGAGGCAGCGCTTGATGGTGTCTGAGAAGGTGGTGCGACTGGCTTGTTAACAGGTGGAATAGACAAGTGTGACATTTCATCATCTACCCGTTAGTCAGAAAGGATCCTTTTCCAATCTTTATTTTTATTTTACTTATTTCTTAAAGGGGGGGGGCAGTTTTCATGAAGACGGGCAGGTTAGGGTTAGGGTTAAGGATAATTCTTGAGCTAGTTTCAGACTGCTTCAGCTCGAATCGCGACTCCAGCTTTCTGATACTGTCCTCTCTCTCTCTCTCTCTCTCTCTCTCTCTCTCTCTTTTGTAAAGTAGGATACTAATTATACCTGCTTCATAAGGGTGATGAGAAGGTTAAATGAAGATAATATAAAGTGAAGCACTTCGACACTGGTTGGTAACTAATATATGGACGGTAGACGTGAGCTGTACTTTTCTTGCTATCGTTCCTGTATTATGTAATTTCGGTTATATGACTTGAAAGGAGATGTTGAGAGGTTGTGTTTGAATTCACCCATTATACAGATGAGAAACATGAGATCTAAAGATGTCAAGTAACTTGGCAACTTCATTTAACTAGTCCGTGTCTGAAATAAGATTACAATTCAGTTAACAGCACAATTCGTTGTTTACTAACCTGTCTTATATGTACCCATTGAGGACCCAGAGGGCATTTTACCCTTAGTAGAGTAGCATTAAATGACTCTCTATCCCTGATTGGCCTTGAACTTTTCAAGTCCCATAAGGCTAAATATGCAATTATCATTTTTATCACTCTTAAAGTATACCTTTTTTTTTTTTTTAAAGATTTATTTATTTATGCATACAAGAGCTGGGCACAGGCCTGAAGTGGGGCCGGGGTGTGTGTGTGTGTGTGTGAGAGGATTCACCCGAGACAGAGTGGGGAGCAGAACAGGCAGATCCACTGAAATACTGCTGAGGGGAGCAGCAGGCGAGACAGGAGAGGTCTGCTGCGCCATGTGGGTTGCTCCCTGGCCGGCTAGGGATGGAACTTGTGGTGTAGAGGCTGCGGATTGCTTCATAGTGTGGTGCTTAACCCCTTGCGCCACTAGGGCTCAAAAGTATACTTAAAGTATACTTCTTTTCTCTACTACAGTCTAAGATTTTTGAGAACAAAACCAAAGATCTGATTCATATCTATAGGCCACAGGACCCTACACATGATTGACATTTGATGCATATTTACTGGCAAACATTAAACTTGAAATAAGAGTTGCAAAATGTCTTATAAGAACAACAAAATACTATTTTGGCATTGCTCTCAGAGGGTAACCTTCAGGTACAAACTGAGTAGACATCATCTTTAAAAAGACAGCCAATATACAGCTTTTTGGACTAAACAGCCTCATGCTTTTGCAACTTTGTTTCTAGAAAATATATCTTTATGTCTGAAGAGTCATATTTTTCTTTACAGGCGGTAGTGTTCCATGTTTACTTTAATAATTTCCCCTTCTTCCACACAGGTTTTAAACCCTATATTTTATTGAAGGATAGAGGCTATTCAAGAAATGTTTCAATTCCTTTTGAATGGTGAAGGGGATTTTAAATCTTGGTTCTAATCCTGCATTTTAGCCCTTCCAGCAGTGTGTGTTCAAATTAGTTTCACCCTCTGGGAGGAAATCAACATTGAATATCTATTAAATGTGCCAACTGTTTTCATAAGTGCAAATTCATTTAATCTATAGTTTTCTTAAAAGGTGTTACCTTCATTTTTATAGATGACAAGCTGAGGGAAACTAATGTCCTTAGGAACACACAAGGAAGTGGTCTGGGAAGAGGTTACTCAAGTGTACTTGTGTTTCAGTCACACTCACTAGCAATAGATGGTTTTATTGGGCCTCAGTATCATGGTCTATAAAAGGAGGTATCCTTAGAGATCGCTGCTTAAAGGTTCTACCAACCAACAGGTCTAAATGTTGAATTTGGGAGAACTTTTTAAAGTGCTAGAGCTTCCTTCATCCAGGTTGCCAGGATTCCCAGATATTATGTTGGAGTCTCTCGGATTACCTTTCTCTTAGGTTCCTTCTAACTGTAAGACTAAACTTTGAAAACTACTAACATTTAATTTGTCAGACTTTTCCTTTGCTAACTGCTTTTAAGTAAAGTGAGCATCTAAGTGTCCTTGAGATTTATTCCGTTGATTGTTGATTGTTTACTGGTGATTTGCCTAACTAATTTGTATAACATTTCTAATGTGGATGAAATCACAGCTCTACCAGATAAGATCTTCCTGTGTTAAAATGTGTGTATTTTATTTTGAAGGCCAAAGGGGAAATGGTGCCATAAGGCAGAGAAAAGATAGTTGTGATGATGTCTTCCTTCCTGTTGTGTATTATGTTTCTTACCTTGAAAAATAACCATCTTATCACCTGTTCCTCATTCACATTGAGGGTGGGAAGATACAGCATTTTTGCCTTTTTTCACTAATGTTTATTGACTTTACACTGTGTATAACACTTGTGTAATGTATTCAGCTTTTTTTTTTTTTTTTGGTCTATCTAAGAAAAAGTACTATACTTTTGCTGTTCTCAGTGTCTTCTATGATGTAGTATATAATTCAGAGACAATTAATGAGGTTCTTGATCTATATATGGTCCTTTTGCGTAAATCTTATGGCTGGCTTTTCAATATCTGACATTTTGGTACTAGAATTCTAAATTACACTGGAGTCCAATGTGGAAATTGGCTCTTAGTTGGCATTTGGTAATTATTAGCTAAAGGAATGAATGCATGTTTGCTGGATGCTGCACATCTTTTGGTAATCTTTTGCATAGGTACATATAACTTCTCATACAATTTAAACATTTTTTTTTAAAGATTTATTTATTTACTTACACAAGCACTTGGTACAGTCAGAAGCGTGGGAGGGTGAGAGAATTCACCAGAGCCAGAGCAGGGAGCAGAGCAGGCAGAAGGACCAAAGTACACTGCTGAGGTGAGCAGTGGGCGGCAGGAGAGGTCTGCGCGCCATGTGGGACTCTCCTCCAGTGGCCGGGGAGCAGCTGGGGATCGAACCGGCGCTGCAGAGACTGCGGGCAGCTTTGCAACCCAGCACTCAACCGCTGCTCCACCAGGGAGGCCCAATTTAAACATTTTTAAGAGAGAAAGACCACATTTAAGATTTTTGTTAGGACTATCCTGGTCCATCTGGGATTTCTGGTCACACTATTGGTGTCATCATTGGTGGTGATTGGAGTCTTGGCCCAGGATAAGAGAACTGAGAGTTGACTCTGCTGAGGAGTGTGCAGACCCCTGAAGCAAAAGGGGTCTGCATGGAATCATATAATGACATCTATTATTTTGGAATTAGATTATTTTGGATTTTAGGAATCATATAATAACGTCTATTATTTTGTTTCATTTCATTCACTTATTTTCTTATCCTCTACCTACCTTAAACTATTTGAAGTGACTTATAGTAAACAGATGCAAGCAGCAGAATCATTGCAAAACATTAGTGCAAGAGTGAACAGATACAGTGCCTGAGATTTCATGCAGTTGACCAAACCAGGCACTTTCTCAGTATAAAACTGACAGAGTGTCACTCATAACATGGGTTTTGTGAATTATGGAACAGAGCTAAAAGAGTTTCTGCAATTGGAGGAGGTCACTTAGTCATTTGCTTGCTGGAGTGAATACTCATTGTTTTCCCTTTTTATTCCAGTAATATGCCATTAAATTACCAAGACAAATGTCCAGTAGTCTATATAAGTCTTGAGCTCCAGGGCTGCAGATACAGGATCAGGGCTGAAGGTAATAGATTTAGGAATGACTGGCACAGAGAGTTTTTAAAGAGGATATTTTTAGCAATTCAAGAAACTCTTAGTCCCCATTTCTTTTTCTGTGAGGGTGGTAAATTTTTTGTCATCTCAAATTTTATTGACTTGCCACTTCTTTACATAACTTTATGATTTTGAGAATACTATGTCAAACCTCCACATGTACATATGCCTCACTTTCCTCCACCCAGTTTCCAGTGCCACAACCCTGTCACCTGCCCTCCTCTGTCTCTTTCACCCTTTCCCCAACTTTTCTGGTAATCAGTATACATTTAACAAACTCTAAGAATTATTCTTGTTGTTTAGCGATTTTGTTTTTCTTTCGTTATTTATATTCTGCAAATGAGTGAAAACATCCAGTAATTGTCTTTCACTTTGATTTATTTCATGTAGCATAATCACTTCATGATCCATCCATTTTATACCCAAACATTCGTATTTCATCTTTTTAAAGAGCTGAGTGGCATTCCCTATTTCCTTTATCCAGTCTGTTGAAGAGTATTTAGAAACACATGGAAAAAGAAATAACAGAAAGATGAAACAAGCAAAAAAAAAAAAAGAAAAAATGGTAGTAAATAAGCCTCATTTATCCAGAATCTCCTTAAATGTGAATGATCTGAACTCACCAATTAAAAGACACAGAATGATAGGTTGGTTAAAGAGGTGTGATCTAGGTTTATTATGCAAACACAAACTCATTTCTGATTGAAAGATAAACATAGACATAAAATGAATGGCTGGAGCAAAGTATTTCAAGCCAGTAACACAGAAACAACACTGGAACTGATTTTCTCATATCTGATAAATTAGATTTTCATCCAAAAAGGGTAATTAGTGACAAAGACGGGTACTATATAATGGTCAAGGAGCTAATTCATCAAGAAAATATAACTGTCATCAATATTTGTGCCCAAAACAGTGCGCTCAAATATATAAACAATTACCAGCTCCCACTTCTTTGAGGAGGGGTTTTCTTATGCTGTCTTAGCTCAATCATTAATGCCATCTCTTACCAAGCATCTAATTAGAAAATTTAAGTATAAAGACATTACTCTGTATAGTGCAAGGAGATGGCTGCTAATACTA